CCTAGACCATTGGTAATCTGAAAGTTGCTGGGGTTGAGATACATTGGCTTAGACCAGCAATGTGAATATTCTATATGTAAGTTTGCTCATTTTCTACTGAATTAATAATCTATTTTAGACACTCTGAATTCAAAGAAGTAAAAATGGAAAATTAGTAAGTAATTATCGATACTGATAGTCCATTTGCTGAAACTCTTGCTTAATGTAGAACATAGCACTTTTTCCTTTTTTTAGATAAAAGTTAAGCAGATTAAATTCCAGCACTATCTTCATGTAAACAAATGAGAATATTTGGCAAGTCACAACACAGATTTTGAATGTCCCAAGAGACAATTTTCTGTTCTGTTTTGTGCCCATTGAAACTCTCCTTTAACTACAGGCTATTATACCGTGCCCTACATTTTGGGATGAGTAAGATTGAGGCCTTTTTCTTATGAAAATTCTTCATATCCTTCAAGAATGCTATCATAATATCCATTTTTAACCTTCCTACAAAGAAATAAATATTTTCCAAAGTCCTTCATTCTAAGGAATTATAACATTAGGGAAGTTTGGAAGTAGACATAGATGTTCTTGAAAAAGATACAATCAATAATTACCCCAAACTATTTTACCATTTTCCTCTTGTTTCTATGCTAGTTTTAATTTATGCTAGGTGTGCTTTGTTAGCTTTCATTTATGCCAGCAGCATGATTTGTTATATCTTTGAGGCATTTTATGACACAGATGTCATCTCTGTGTGTAATATTTTAGATATTCACAAATTAAATATACCCAAGAGGAGCACTTGTGACCAGTGGCATAGTTTTCTTAGTTGACAGGAAATCTTTCGGTCCTCTGAATTTGTGCTGTATTACCTCACATGCTCTTAATGCTTTCAACACTGTTAATATTGACACTTTCTGGAACATTTTGATTGCAGAAGTTAACACTGTAATAACCACCTACACGGCGCTATATAAGAATGAGTAGCAGATGGCATGAACACATGCTATCTAACTTCAACAGAATGTTGTTTTGTTTTGTTTTTACAATCATGAGGTTTGAAATCCTTTCCATTTTTCTCCAGTTATTTGTTGTTATAAATAACAGGTAACAAATACTCTATAAGGGTTGAGGGTTCTTTTTGTTTTTAAGAAGTACAGTAGTGGTGGTGCTTGCACATTTCTAGTGTGCTTGCCAGAAAAATTTATTAAGTTAGTGATCTCAAGAAACAGGGCCTTCTGTGTGGTATCTCAATTCTAGCAAACTACCCTTCCTTCAAATTTTATTTTTCCTTGACTGAAGTTAAATGGGACTTAAAAAACATGATTCCTACTTTATTTCTAAAGATCCCCAACTTTATTCTTTAAGATGGAATTATTTCTACTGTTGTTTTCATTCTAAATACGTTATTTGGAGAATTATATTTCTCGTGTTCCAATTTAAATACTTACTATGTTTGCCCTTAAAGAAAGCACTTCCTCACAACTCAACATAAATAAGGTAAAACAAAATTGCTAGTCATGTTTATGTAGAAGAAATGATAAGAAATATTTATTTGGCTTGCCTCTGCTGGCATATTTTATAAGAGTAAACAACTAAACGTTATCCTGTTGGATCACATTTTTTAAAAATCCAATCTGTATGTAACAAACAGATATCTCCACAAACTCTGAAGCAGAGCTTTGTGGAATCAACCATCATTACAAGCATCTGGTACTCGAAGATCAGTTGCTTGAACAGGAATTCGTTGAATTTTTTTATCCTTTTTTCACAGTTATGAAGTATTGCCCAAATGCTCTACTCTGTATTTTTTAAGAATAAATTCATCCAGATCAAATTCTTCCCCACTTGTGCAGTGACTCATTTTCATGGAAGATGTCCACCATCTTCCCTTCTTCTTCAATATTGTCCATTTCATGCTTTTGCCCAGAAGCCTTATATCTCTCTCATGAGGACAGATGAGGAAATACTGAACGTATGGAATCTTTGAGACATAATGGTTCTTTGTTTGCGGAATGCCACCTCAAAATCTAGGGGAAAAAAGATCTTGCAGTTGAGCATAGAGGGAAGATAACTATTATGGCAAACTATTGAGCTCCTCCCAAATTTTAATTAATATCTTACTTTTGATAGCCATCTGACTCAGTTCTATTCCTGATGGGGTATTAAAATGATACACAAGATCATTGGCAGTAAGTATTTTAGGGTGGCTTACCCATCCATAAAATCTAAATAATATTTTTCTGAAATGGTGTAAAGTCTCCTACTTGAGCAGAGAGTGGGCAGGTCATAAAACAAGGCAACTTGAGGTTGTAAGAAGAGATATGGACATTTGACAGCATAACTCCCTGCATTAAAGCAGACCTGGCTAATTATTCTTGACATGCTGATTTTTTTTTTCATTCAGAAAATTTTATTCGTGGGGTAATATATGTTATATTGGTATGGATCTGGAAATTTTTTACTTATTCCTAGATTTTTCTGAGTATGTAGGCCAAAAGACCCAATAATCTTATAAGAGAAAGTTGGCAGTGATTTTGGAATGAATTTTAGGAATGTAAGGATTGGTTGCTGACTTATGCAAGATCAGGACTAAGAACCTTCATATGCTTTTCCTGCTTCTAAAGCTTTAGAAAGAGCTTTTACAGCAGTTCTTTATTTCTTATTTATTTATTGGGAAACTTTTCATCATTGCCTCCATAATTCTTATCTGGAATCACAGAGCCACAAATTGTAAATTAATTAATCCAGTGTGCTAAGTAGGAGCATGCAAACCAGCTTAGTAAACTTATCAACTTGTAAATAAGACTTCTCGTAGGGTGCAGTGGGAATGATCAAAAAGTATGAGCATTTCTTTCACTTTCTTCCAAAATGCTGTTCTCCCTAACTTTCCATTCTCATTTTCCTACTCTCTCGTCTCCCCAATAACTTGTACTTTAAATTTAGTCAATTAAGCGAAATGGCAGAATTAAGATAATTGTTACTTTCTGATAGTACTTTGAAATTAAAAGTTTGGCTAAGTAAAAATGGGGTGAGTTGAATCCAAATAGTTATAGCTTGTAATTTACAAAAACAAATGAGCAATAAAAAAAGGGAAGGATATTGATGCTGGATAAATTCTCTTACCTGATCAATTGAAAGTAACCAGAGCTTAGTTATAGATGCAGAATAGAAGAGTAAGATTTGATGATGTCACAATAGAAAGAAGAGTTAAACAGAGCATGTGAGGCAGGTATGACTGTCCTCTCCATTGGGAAGTCTTTATCTTTGCGGGTGAAGAAAGACCAATACAAGGCCAAAACTTTAGTGGTCCTAACAATTTGAGGAGGTTTTTAGTATTCCTATAGATTCTTAAAAGTTAAAATATAAAAATGCTTTATATTGCATATTGACAAATACAGGCTACTGGTCTTTCCAGATCTTTGTCTGCTTTTTTCTAAACCATGTAATTTTCTAAACCTTTCCTAAACCGTAAATACTATGGTATTTATCTGACATTTCTGCAGACTAAACAAAGGACTTAATTCATACAGAGGTCTTTTGCTGCCACAAATTATACCTTTAATTATTATATATAATTATAATTACAGATTTTGCACCTGTATCCCTTCAGAAACTATAGGATGATTGTTTCTTACTTTTGTAAAAAAAAAAAGTTGTTCCCAGCCATTTATTTTATGTGGCTCATTACATCATCACACCTTTAAGCCAGGAATCCACATTGCAACATCTGCAGGCACTATGTATGACACACAAGTCCTCGGATGGCATCTACAAAATGCCAAAATGGAATAATTAAAAAATAGCCAACATTGCACTAGATTATTAAATCTCACAGCATATTGATGTTAATATCTAATATTTTAAAAAGGTTGGGCAAGAAAGCTAAAGCAAAGAAGGACCAAGTCCTGAGGTTTTTGGAAGCGGTTTTTGTTCTGGAAGTTGCCTTATGAAGGAGTAGATTTGGCAGTACTATATTGCAAAATGGTGAGAACATGCTGTGGGAGAATCCAAAATAGTATTTCCTTCCAGATGCTCTTAAGTCCTAGTATATCCCACGGGAATGCCCTGTAAGTTCATAAACATTCTTTTGACTTCTGAAGGGCAGAAATTTCAGCAGTTATAAAAATGGTTCCTGTAAAATGCCTTCTCTCTGGCCAAATATAGTGCTTGCAAGCCTTTGCTGTTTAGAAGCTGATATATTCTGAATTTTGAAAGGGCACAGAAGTTGCGAAGTGAACATAAATATCATAACTGCCACATTATCTGCAGTTTGTTTGCTGCCCTTCAAAATAGCCCACTTCTTTGGCTTAGACGATGTTCCTTTATTTCTAATTCTACCAAGGGTCCAGAACTAACAAGAAGCACCCAATTTACATGAATGTTAATAAGACTATTGCAGTGACGCAATATTTTTTTACTTGGAAACACTAATGCAAACATAAGGACTTAATAGGCACTAATATTATGATATACGCTTTCTTGCATTTACTTGCTTCCAGTGTGCATCTGGGCCAATTCAAATTACTGTATTAGGTTTGACCTCTGCAGAGCTTAACCTTCATAACTAATTCAACACCTGCCGTGTGCTTACCTTAAGGTCATCAGTAGAATCTCTTTCTTCAATCTAAATCCAGAGATTTACTCTGAAACAGCCGTCCTCCAGCTCTGGAACACTCATTTAGAAAAGTAATCCACACATCTTTTTAGTGAGGAACCTTTGTTACAATTGCTCTCTCAAGCATTTTAGAAGTATGACTTTATTTATCTGGGCGGGGGGCGGGGGGGGCGACGACTTTAAGTTTCCTCCAAGTAATCTGTGGCTCAAATAGAAGAGTTATCTAAACTTTGCTAATATTAAGGAAGTCTGTGAATATTTTTCCACCTATCATTTGATGGTAAGTGGGCTTTGCAAGTGACGATTATTACCTTCCTTTGGGGTCACCAGGACACAACCTGCAATATATTTTGAATTCTTAATGACTTGTTTTATATTGTCTGTTGTTCTAGGTGTTTTTTTTCTTCTCATCGTTGCCTTAGTTTGCTTGCTGGATTTCAAGGATTATGATTTCTACAGTATGAAAAGTTTAATTATGTACAGTAGCTAGAGCAGAAGTCTCCAAACTTGGCAACTTTTAAGGCTTGTGGACTTCGATTCCCAGAATTCCTCACCCAGCCATGGCTGAGGAATTCTGGGAGTTGACGTCCACAAGCCTTAAAAGTTGCCAAGTTTGGAGCCTTCTGAGCTAGAGACTTAAGAGTCGCCGAGTATTTATAGTCAAGTTAAACACAATTACCAATTATTGTTCCTCTCCTCTGTTTTCCAGAGCCTGTCCCTGCCTTTTCTTCCTGGCAGCGTAATGACGTAGATTCTGATGAAGCTCACCTCTCCCCTCAGGCTGGACGCCTCATTCAGCAGCTTCTGGATGAAGACACTGGCCCAATGCTGTCCCCTCGCTTTTATAACTATGGGCAAAGTCAGCAGTACCTGGATGACACAGAAGTGCCTCCTTCCCCACCCAATTCTCATTCATTCATGAGGTAATTTGGCTGCAGCATTCAACCCAGTCATCACCTGGGTAGGATTCTACCTTCCTTATCGAACTGCTCCAGAATTACAGCCACCCATTTCTTCCAACTGAGCCTAGGCTAGTCCTCTTCCCATCGTGCCATTATTCCATTTTTAGCAGATAGTCAATATGATAGTTTTTTGGACATACTCAGTCTGCAATTTGGAGTTCTCTGTGATTTATAGGAGAGTCTGTTCTTGTTGGTTTTATTTCAGAGATCTCCCATGTTTCTTCATATTTTGCTCCAGTTCAGATTGTGGAAGGAAAAAGAAGGATAGGTCCACATTTGGGAATGTTTAATTAACGTAAATATAACATCCTGCAGAGGAGAAAAGAGGAACTGCAGAAATATAAAGCTGGGATTTTGTTTAGAAAACATTTTGCAGGTGATGGGGGTTGAAACTATTTTTCTACCAACATGGAATATTGTATCCCATTTCATTATTATAGCATTTTATTTTGCTATGCATATAAGCTAGGTTTTAAAGGCAAAGAATCTTCTTCTTCTTCTTTTTCTTCAGCGTTTGTCTCGCGCTCTGGCGAGGTCCGCTAACGTCCTTGAGTATTGCTTCCACGCCTCTCTGTCTGCCACGTATGTCAGGTCTGCCTTCGCGATCTCTAGGTCGGCCTTGATCGTGTCCATCCAGCGTTGCTTAGGTCTACCACGCGGTCTCGTGGTAAAGGCAAAGAATAATCTTACAAAATATATTAAATCTGTGATCTCGGCTGCCATCTTGACAGTTAATCTCAGTTTTAAGGCATGGAACAAAATGTAACAGTACAGTGATATCAAAGGAGGCAAACACAGGCCATCTGGATTCAAACATTCAGTTTCTACCCAGGAAAAAGCATGGGTTCTATATTCTGATTTGTGTCTTCAAAATTATCCTCTGATCCTGTGGTTTTCTATTCAGTCATTTAAATATTTGTTGCATTATGCATTTTCATGCAATCAATGACTAGTTTTGAAATTCTACTCTGCATTTCTATGGAGAACTGTGGAGGAGATCTAGAAAGAGTTGTCTTCCTAAGGCTTGGAGATTTCTCCAGTCAAAGCAGGGAGAGATGAAAAAATATATAATTCCATATAAAGGAGCATATGACAGCAGTTAACGTTTTCTGGAAATCCTCTTTTTACATGATGCTCTTTTCATGTCACTCTATGTGCACAAATTAATTGAACCGTAACAGCATGGTTTTCATTCTAGGCGAAGAAGTTCTTCTTTGGGATCTTACGAAGATGACAATGAAGATTTAACACCAGCACAATTGACTCGCAGGATTCAAGGACTGAAGAAAAAGATCAGGCGGTACGAAGATAAATTTGAGCAGGAGAGAAAGTATAGAGTAAGCTAACAAAAACTTTTCCTTCAATCAAACAGCACTTTTCAGATTTTAATTTCTTTCCCAGTTACCCAACTGTGATTTACCTGAACATCACTAGCAGTTGAATTGCTAAGCAGTATAAGCATTGAGCTGATTATCTAGTAGAGGAAACCACTGATTAGTGGGTTTATTATTATTATTATTATTATTATTATTATTATTATTATTATTATTATTATTATTAAGTAGCCATCCCTTTTTTAACCCATTGGGAAAAAAGCCTACTAGGCTGAGCAAGTAATACATATCTTAATAAAATATGTATTTGATGAAGCTATTAATCTCATCAGGTGACTTAAAAATTTTATGTGCAATAGACATAAAAGAAAACCTGTTCATTTTATTTTAATTATATTTTAGAGAGCGCACAAAGCAAAGAACTGTAATTTGTTTTTTAAAAACTATTATATACATTTAACAGAAGTGGGAAACTTTGGCTCCTTTATGATCCGTGGACTTCAACTCTCAGAATTACTGAACCAGCATGGCTGGTTCAGAAATTCTGGGACTTGAAATCCACAAGTTATAAAAGGGCCATCGTTCTCCACCCGTTTTAAAATGTCACTCAGAAAAGCCAAAAAGTTCTTAATTATATTAAAGAAAACCTTCTAGATCGGCAGAAACTTTTGGGAAAGTTTGGGAAACTTTTGAAAAGTGCTGGAACAAATAAATAAATGTGTTTGTTACAAGCCTTGATTTCAGTTCCTTCATTCACAAAACTCCTTTGTTCCTATTTGTTTTCCCCCTCTGGGACAGCCCTCTCACAGTGACAAAGCAGCTAATCTCGAGGTGCTGAAATGGACAAATGACCTTGCAAAGTTTAGGAAGCAACTAAAAGGTGAGCATTAACCTGGCAACATCATCTTGTTTAGGCTTGGACTTACTTTCCGTTGCCTGTCATTAAAAATACTTTTTTTTTCTCTTCTTTGCCCAAACTAGAGTCAAAACTGAAAATGTCAGAAGATCATCTGGCTCCTATGACACGCCAACGTAGCAATACACTCCCCAAAAGTTTTGGCTCTCAGCTGGAGAAGGAGGAAGAGAAACAAGATGTCTCTGATAAATCATCCAAGCCTTCAGTGGAGGCAACTTTGGAATCCATGGAGAAGAAGCTTCAAGAGAAAAGGACAGAAGCAAATCGACCTGAGGATATTAAGGTACACTTAGGAAAATAGAAAGAAGAAGAAAAAATCTCTTGCGTGATAGAGTCTGGGCAACTGATTGGAGCTAGCACAATGTTTACTGGCCGGATGCCCTTCCTGTCACCAATGCAGAGTTTTGTTTAGCAGAGATATTCTCATTGTGCCCAGAAAGAGAAATGTCTGCCTCTACCTAGAATCAAACTCACAGCGTCCTGATTGTGAGGCAAGAGCTCCACCTCTAGGCCATCACACGACTCCCAGAAAGAAAAATAATAATAATTAAAATAATCCCACACAATTATTAAGATCTTCTCTCAAGTGGTGTGCATACAGAGATGATTGAGGTGTTAATTAAAACATGCCAATTTAGAATTATATTAAGGCTGTTTGCAGTATCCCTATGGAATAGTATAAAGTTCTAGTATGAGAGGGTAAATAAAGGGTTTTGAAGAATATTTCTTCTATACAATTGTTTGCAAAAAGCCCAAATTAGATGATCTTAATATGTAGGCTTATACAAAACTATGGTATGGTCCTAGTGTGTTCTATCTGCCAAAACGGGCAGCAGTTTTCCCAAAACAGAAAGTTTCTATAGAGTTTTGGGCAACATCTGTTCTGGAAATCCATATACTTGGAGTCCTGTGAAGTTTCCTGTTCCAGAAGTTTCATGGAAGAACATTTGGATTCCATTTTGGGAATGGACTATGCTGTTCTACACTTAATTTGTGATTCAAGCTTTCAGCTAAACATTGTCATCTTTAAAAGGTTTCAAATAAAAGCTGAATATCACCTGAACAGATTGCTGTAGGCGTGGTAGAGTAAATAGTTATTTGGAAGGTCTACAATAAATATTTGAGAACTACACAGTGTCAGGGATTGTACCGCTCTCAATTATTTTGTTGAGGGTAGGAAGATGACATTTGGCAGATCTCTTAAGGCTTTGTTCCCAGGCAATGACAATGACCTTGGCTGTACTGCAAATACTGATGTGTTGAAGGCAGTGTCACTGCTGCAGTTACAAATTTCTTTCCAATCTTTAATACAATCTCTTATCTTTTGCTAAACCCACAGCAAGGATAGCACAGGGCTGGTATATAAAATCCTGTCACCTCTCTTATGTCCTCAAGGCTGCCATCAGCTGTTCTTATCATAAACATTGGAGGGGAATTAAAAACAGCATCAGCATTCTCAGTTCTTCCCAGAAATGTGTCTCAAACTAGTGAAGGACAAACACATATGCCTAATTACTTCAAAACAGAAGTATTAAATTACTAGCTTAGTTTTCCAACGGTCTTCAAAAGGAGCTTGACATACAATAATCTAAGGGGATGTTTGGGTGATCACGATTCCAGACTATTGCATGATTTTGGTTTTTTGTGGTGCATGTCTTAATTTTTTATTGTAAGTTGTCCCAAGTCATATATGTGAGATGGACAGTGATATAAATCCAGTAAATAAATGGATAACTGATTTTTCTACTCAGTCCATGAGTCTAAACTAATGGAAGATATTTCATACCACAGAGACCACTAAATAACTGGAGATGCAGGACTAGTCTTTCAAAGGGAGTGCTGTCCTTCTAGAAAACATGAACATTGCAGTCTAGGGCAAAAGAACAGCCAAGCAACCTCATCAACTTTTCATCTATTAAGCCTTGCTTATTGACTTTTTTTCCCACTTTGCTTGCCAAATTCAGTACTTGACATTGCAGTATTCTGATGTTTGCATTTCCATTTGACAAGTACTGTAGTTTCTCAACTTCACCTTCTAGAATCAACCATCTAACATTAATATTATTAAAGCATGTCCCACTCGAATCCATCTCTCAAGAAAGCAGTCAAAATCTAATGATGTAGGAAATTGTCAATAAATCAAGGAGAATTAATAGGGCAGCATCTTTCAGGTCTAAATTTCAGGACCATCCTCACAATGTGTTTCTTTCAGACACAGCTAAAATATTCTGACAAAAGATTTATTACTTATTTTCATTGACCCACCCAATGAACCCTTTTCTTGACCTTCTTTTTGAAAGTCCTGGTCAGGAAGCCACATATTTCAAAGAATTTTGTTCACATCCTTAGACCTAACCAAAAAGAAAACCTACTGAAAACACCAATCCAGGCAGAATTCTGGGCATATCGATGAATGTATTGATTAACTGCATTTAATTTATTATTAGCTGCCTCAGTGGAGAAGCAACTCTAGGTGAGGTAAACGTCTATGGAGATTTTCAGTCATCCAGGTCACGGTTGTCCCAAAAGTGCTTTTTCAAGAGGCAACTGGATTTTCTGGTCTACAGTCTACAATTCAGTCCTTTCAACAGTTCTAAGAAGGCTCCACACCCATTGCACCACTCAGATAAACCTCCAGGTAGCCTTAATGACTCACTAAAAATGACCAGCTGTCTGCAAGGAATATTAAATCCTTCTCTTCCCACCATCCAGTCAGGCTGAAGAAGCTTTTGTGGTTGAGAAGTGAAACTTCTTCAAAGAAAAACCAAGAAAGTTCAAGTTTCCTCTTGAAAAAAAAAAAAAAGCACCTTTGGGACATCTAGGTCAGGGGTCCCCAACCGCCGGTCCGCGGACCGGTACCGGGCCGCGGAACAAGCCTTACCGGGTCGCTGGTTGCTGGGCGCCGCCATCTTTTTTTTGGTAAAAAAGCGCTTCTGGTGAGCTTTTCCGGGTAGAAAGCTCACCGGAAGCGCCTTTTTGTCATAAAAAGATGGCGGCGCCCAGTTGATGCCGGTACCGGGCCGCGGCGCCCAGCTGATGTCGGAACCGGGCCGCGGCGTCGAAAAGGTTGGGGATCCCTGATCTAGGTGATGTACGGAGATAAAGGAACGATTTAAAACAGACTCGAGATAGCACGGATTATTTAGAAAATAAAAAACTCCAGGAGGGGAAATAGCAGTACAAACAACATACTGCATAATGCTGCTCCTTTACTTTTTGTCCATCCTTCCTCTACCCAGGATATGACTCGAGATGAGATAGCATCAGAGAAAGTGGCCCTTCAGAAATCCCTCCTCTATTACGAAAGCATCCACGGAAGACCAGTAAGTCTAGTAATTTTTCTATCAAATGGGCTCAGCATTTCGGCAAATGCAATTGTCTGGCTGTTAAATGTGAGGACATGTCCAATTCATTAAAATATACAAAGAAAAGTAGCAAAACAGTGATGTTGATGACTGGCTTGGTATCATTGTGGACAGTAATTATAATTGGTGCAAAGTGTTTAGATAAAAAGAATAGAATAGAATCTAGAATACTTTATTTGGCCAAGTGTGATTAGACAGACAAGGAATTTGTCTCCGGTGCCGAAGCTCTCAATGTACATGCAAAGCTGCAGAGTAATAATAATCATAATATCACTGTTACGAACAGAGACACACATTCAACTTTGCAGCTACCAGGATTGTTGGACCAGCTGGCACAAAAACAGCCAGGGAAGTGATTGAAGTCTGGGAAACAGGCTCCTTGTCAGTCAACAGGAGTGCTGATTTACCACCAGCTTATTCAAGTACTTAGAAGGCGAGGGCTGGGCAGCGCAAGCCAACGACAGCTAATGGCTTAAAAGCCAGCCATCAACACACCCCAATCAACATCTTAAAAAGCCACATACAACAGGCACTACACAGAACACACATAGAACAGCACACACTCTGCTAGAGACAAGTTCCTTGAAGATGGGCTCTAGCATGAGTCCAAAATCTCAGAAGACAAAAACCTCTGTTCCCGGTGACCGACCCAGATTGGATCCTGCAACTTCATCCTGGGACATGTATATATTGCTTCTATTCTTATTCATAATAGAATACCAATAAGAGAGTCTAGTAGAGAAGATGAGAAGGATAATAATACTACAGTCATACAACATGGTAAATATACTTAGACATAAGACAATACTTGTGAGGATTAGGTGAGGGCTTGTCGATCAGAAAGAGCTTGTCGATCAGAAAGGTCGGCGGTTCGAATCCCTAGCACTGTGTAACAGAGTGAGCTCCCATTACTTGTCCCAGCTTCTGCCCAACCTAGCAGTTCGAAAGAATGTAAAAATGCAAGTAGAAAAATAGGGACCACTTTGGTGGGAAGGGAACAGTATTCCGTGTGCCTTCGGCGTTTAGTCATGCCAGCCACATGACCACGGAAACGTTTTCGGACAGCGCTGGCTCTTCGGCTTTGTTTATGGAGATGAGCACTGCCCCCTAGAGCCGGAAACGACTAACACGTATGCGTGAGGGGAACCTTTACCTTTTTAGAGTGAGGGCACAAGGGAAAAAACTGTCCCTGTGTCTAGTTGTTTTGGCCTGCAATGCCCTATAGCAGCATTATGAGGGAAGGAGTTGAAACAGTTTACATCCAGGATGTGAGGGGTCTGTTGATATTTTCTCAGCCCTCTTTCTGATCTGCATAATATACAAGTCTTCTATGGAAGCCAGGCTGATTGTGATTGTTTTTTCTGCAGTTCCATTGGAGTGTGTACTTGTCCTGTTTATCTGCGGTACCAAACCAGGTGTGATTTGCTTAGGTAGAGATCAGGCCTTGAGCTTAGAACATGAAAGATGAAAAGGTGTTTCCTTTTCAAGGGAAATGAAACTGCTCAGAACCACAGACTTGAATGATAAAAATTTCCATTTAAACTGATAACTAGGATGATGATAAATGGCAAGAATTTAAAGTGTAACAGCTTGCATTCCACATTGGATATCATGAATATGTAGATGCTGACTTTTTTGATTGGGTAGCAAATATTAATAGGGGCAAACAATTACATACCCAAGCAGTAGAAATCAAGGCGCCTGGTGAGATAATAGGAAAGGAACAGTCTAAGAACTATTATAATGAATGCCATGAAGTTTGTGTTGTACGATTTCATTCCTTATTAGTAGCTCCTGTGCCCAGCCCTACCTTTCAAAAGGGGGTAATCGAAAGTAGATTCTCCTTCTTTTTCACAAGACATTTCCTAGAAAACAGTGCTGCTAAAAGGTGAATAATCATTAGTGGTAGATATTTCACTTTGCTGAAATCTGGCAACTTCCAAGTCTTTTGTGACCCATACCCAAATACGGTCAGCTTTAGCAAAACCAACCTACCACCAGCACCAAGATTCAGGCAATTTTCTTCTTTTTCAGGTAACAAAACACGAACGGCAAACTATGAAGCCCCTCTATGACAGATACCGCTTGGTCAAGCAGATCCTCTCAAGAGTAAACTCTATTCCCATTATCGTGAGTATAAACCTCATATTTTGATTATTTCACTTGAATTATCTTAGCAATCGGGGCAAGGAAGAACGCTGTTGCTCACAGTCCACATCTTCTCTGTAGTATAACAGCTAGATAATTATATTTATACTTGCACACTATAAAAAGAAATACAGGTTCCCCTATCAGCTACCTCAGGTCAGCTTTTGCAGCAGCGCTTCCCAGTAAGAATTCTGCTCTAATGAACTGATTGGACGAGATATGGTTTCTTCCAAGTTATCACCTATACCAGAGGTTCCCAACTTCTACTACTACTACTAAGGGCTACTACCAACTACTACCGGGCTGTGAGCCATTCAGAACTGGGCCACACCTAACTGCTAATTGTTTTGCACTCCCACTTTAACCATTTGGATTTTCCTTTTATTTAAAATCCCCACATTGGTCCATTAGAAAGAAGCCCTAAAGCAAAACAATATTGGAATAAAATAAGGAAATGGTTGCAAGAAATGACCGGTCTCCAAATAGAACTTAGGCCTGAAATGTTTCTTCTAGGGATAATTAGAGGGGTATTTAAGAAAGAAACTAAATATAACACATGTACTAACAACAACAAGAATAACTGACGCACAAAGTTGGAAATTGGATAGCATCCCCACGGATAGCATGATAATAAAGAAAATAATGGATTGTGCAGAAATGGTCAAACTTACACTAGAATTACAAGATAGAGAAGACACGGAATACTATGCGGTATGGGAAAAATGGTACAATCGGTTAGACTGTAGAAATAAAAAATAATGTAAATATGTATATACTGACTTAAATGGAAATGTTGATGTCATATCACTGCAAAAGACTGTAAATATGTTGTTTTTATATGTGTTGTTGTTTTATGTGTTGTTTTTTAAGTGTGAAAAAGTTCAATAAAAAGTATTTAATTAAGAAGGGGGAAAAAAAGAAGAAGAAGCCCTATCTTATTCGAAAATTCCCTGAGAATCTTTGGAGCTTCTACCACCATCCAAACCTCCAAACTTAGGCTTGTGTGCTTGTCTGTTTCATTTTGCCATGAGGTTGTTGTATACAGTAGGAAAGGCTTTTTATGGTATAATATATGAAGAGCAGGATAGCAGGAGTATTATCTGTTCTGCATCGAATGGCCTAGAATAATAATACCATACTGTCATGTTGATGTGGGAATGAATGTGCTGCAGGATGTGGGGAGAAAATAAAGTGGAAAAGGAGCAGGTTGTAACATAATCTATTTGAATATCTACTTGCAGGGTTCACCTTCTAGCAAGCGGAGAAGTCCTTTGCTACAGCCAATAATTGAAGGAGAAACTGCTTCCTTCTTCAAGGAGATAAAGGTGAACCAAAAGATAGACTTCACATTCCCCTTCCACATTAATTCATTTGTTCAACTTACATCGGTTCTCCTCTTCCACTGTGGATGATGATGATGATGATGATCTTCCTTCATCTCCACGTTTCCAGGAAGCAAAATCAATAGAAGAGAATATTTGTGGCTCAGGGCTGAACCGTGGAATCCTTGGTGCTCTCTGAGCTGGTTTTTTTTCCATGCAGACGTTTCATTACCAAACTAGGTAACCTCATCAGTTCACCAAGGACCTCACAGCAAAATCAGGAGCTGTTTTTCTCAGTTTGCCCACATTCTAATTATTGCTTTTACAACGTACTTCAGTTGTAACAGTTTTGTATCTTAGTTCCTGGATTTCTAAAATCATCTCACCCTTGGAAGCTAGAGATCAATTAATACAGTCTGCTTTAGGAAATTATTTTATTTAGTGATATACTGCAATTTCACAATTCCTCCAGACTTTTAATCTATGTAATTGGTGCAAGACCCAACTTTGGCTAGAAGAAAGTTCTGAGGGTCCCAGTATCTTTTTTTTTAAATCTTCATGCTTTTGTTTCTTGACTCACTACCAGTGAAAGAAATACAGTTGTCTAACCACATTTGCCCACTGCAAAAGGACATATCTGGCAATAAGATGATATAAATTGCTACGCTGTCCTCTCCCTTCCCCATTTGTGGAGGAGTGGGGCTGAGGCAGCCTAATATGCCTCCTGATATAAAACAAACCAGTGTAATGCGAAAGTTACTTGGCATAACCACCAAGATTTGTCAGTTTCAGGAACCTTCCCCTTCTTATGCCAGACATTCAATTCAGTAAGTGGTAAAAGTAGCCTGACCAACAGCAAAATAGTTGCTTTCTCATACAAGGTCCCAGATTTATCTTCAGCTAAAAGAATTAAAAGTGGCAGAAATAGCCCAAGTCTTAAGACAGCCATTACTAGTCAAATAAACCATTCTTCTCCAACATGGATATCCTCCAAATCTGGATCCTTCAGAATTTTCCACAGTGGACATGCTGGATGTAGACTTGAAAGAATTAAAATCTATCCAACCAGAGAGTGTCTAACTTGGGAAGACTGGAAGAGGCAATGCCAGTCTAGATCAGGGGTCCCCAAACTTGGCAACTTTTAAGACTTATGAACTTCAACTCCCAGAATTCTGAGAGTTTAAGTCCACAAGTCTTAAAGTTGCCAAGTTTGGAGACCTCTGCTTTAGATGAATAAATCTCTAAAACACTTCCTGCATTCAAAGTCTCCTGTGTGCTATTTAGGGATGGTAACATCTGCCTCCTTTAGGGCATTGTTTCGTTCCTAAAAATAGATTATTTGACAATTAAATGTGGCCACAATATAAATGCTAGGTTCAGAAAATGCAAACTGAAGGTATATTTTTGGTGCCGTAGTCTTTTCACTTGCTGGATTCCAGCTGCCAAAAGAAAAGAAAACATTTGGTAAATCCTTCAGAATGGGGGAGGGGGAGTATGGGCAACATTAGTGCGTTGTTTTTGTTGTTGTTCAGTCGCTATGTCTTGCATGACTCTCCGTGACATCAGGCCTCACTGTTGCCTGGATTTTGCCCAAATTCATGCCCGCTATCCTCTATATCGGCCTACTATCTCCTTTGCAAATCTTAGCCATGTTAGTTGTGTTATTTATGTCTGCCAGTTTTCTTGGTTCAGACAATCCTGCCTATTTAGAAAGTGAACTATTTTGATAACGTCCCCCCCCCCCCCAATCAGAGGCTAATAACCATTGAAATCAAAATCTCTCCACAGGAAGAAGAGGATGGATCTGAGGATGACAGCGGTGTGAAACCAGATTTCACCGTCACAATAAAACCTGACTTTGGCGTACGAAGTTTTCTAGACCGACTAGAAGATGATGTTGATGGTTTCATTTCTCCAGTGGACGATAGGATCTCTTCGAGAAGCAGCCACGATATGGGCTTGTCCAATCTTCATGCAGCTTCTATGTATGTCAGATTTTTCGTAATCAAGCGCGAAGTTCACATATGTGTAGCCATTTTAGTTAGGCTTTATATTCTTTTTCTTACTTTCTCTTTGACAGTTATGGGGGAAGGATTTCGGGCTTGCCACATTCCTAAGGAGGGAGGAGTGGAGATAAAGAGAGTTGTTTAGGCTAGGTGATTCTTCTTCCCGTGGGAACACGAGCTGACTGTGCTCAGGCCCCTTGGGGTGGAGATTTATGACATCAAGCAACGTTGAATTACTTCTATTGGAGAATGTGACTTTTGGGGGTTGTTTCTAACTTCTAATATTGTGGGGTAATTCCGGGTTGTGTCAGATCCAGAATTACCACGGACTTTGCCAATTTGATGTTTTCCTAAATAAAAGAAATTGTTTTGGAAGATGGACTTCGCTCTTTTCTTTTTAAATGGATTTCATCACTTGGAAACGTGACACTGGGTATAGATTTTTTTTTCTTTTTTCTTTTGGCTGAGATGTTAACTAAACTTTCACAGTGACATGTGGTGAAATCCCTGCCATTTATTGACCATTCAGCCAAAACTTGTGTTTCAGTTTTACCTCGAGAGGGAGAGTAGACAGTGTCCTTGTGGAAGTCCTCACCCTCAACATCTCGTGCAGGGGGTAGAATTGAAAAAGCTCTGAAATAAAATTTATCTGCATTGGACAAGTGGCCTTGCCATTACCTGCACTCCTTGAAGTCAGCCTGTTTCCTGTTCAAAATCAACTCTTATTAGCATGTTGCAACAAGAAAATAGAATGCCTGACATTTCCCCCCGAAAACTTAGCAAAATAGGTGAAATGTTGCAACAATGGAATGGAATGGAATTTCAAATAAACTGAAATTCAATCTTAAATTGTTTGCTTTGTATGATTAACTTAACGTAACTCAACAGGCACTTGTTATGACAATTTAATAATATGAGACTACAATTTAATAGACGTAAAATATAAAGCCCTTTGCTACGTTCTCACTCCGAAGGACTAGAAATTTTATTTCTTAAAACAGTAAGCCATATGCTTTCTCGTTTTCGGACAAACACACACAATACTTGGGAGAAATGAATCTTTTCTGGCTTGTTTTTATGCTTGTTGGCCTTTTGTCTCTTTTTAACATCGGGCTGCTTGTTTTTCGTTCATTTTATAGGCGTGAACTTGTGGAGCAGCTTCAAGAAGTCAGGGAAGATAAAAAGAAGATCAGAAAAAAATTGAGAGATTTTGAAGACAATTTTTTCCGACAAAACGGAAGGTAACTTGCCATCCCCTTTTTTTTACCTCAGCCCTAGACTAATTAATGTTGCATGTTATATTATTTTTAACTTCTTGCGAAGGTCCTGCTTACTAATCTAGAGGTCCCAACTGTGGAAGTGGTGGGTGAGTACGCATACGTGTGCATCCCCACTTGCACGAGCGGCGGGCAAGTGTGCACGTGCCCGCTGCATTTGCACAAGCGGCGGGGTTGTGGGGAAATGTGTCTTTTCCACCTTCATTTCCTGCTCTGCTTGTTGCTAGTTTTTTTAGGGATTGTTATAACTGTCTCTCTATGAATGCAGTAGAGGATATTAATATTAATATGACAATGAATGATGTGTCTCAGTGTCAGCTAGCTGTCAGGATTCCGACAGTTACCCCAATTAAATCATGAGTCTCGAGCCAAACTTCCAAAACTTAAAAAGGATTTATTGGGAGTTAACATGCTGGCACTGCCTGGGTGTAGCTGACTCTGAGACACATAATTCATTGTCACCTTTGACCCTGGTTTCCTCCCACCCCCTGGGTGTATCATAATTCATATTCTCCAATGGGACACATCCATAGCCAAGAGTCATCAATCATGCTTTCCAGTTGCAGAAACTTCAGTCACCTAGTTACTATCTTTGAAAACATTTATGGAATGCAGTTTCGGTTTTGCAAGCTGATGCACTGCTCCCTCCTCCCTTTCTGTTGGCACCTCTAAAAAGACCAGATAAATATTTTATGAGCTGACATCTAGAAGATCCACAGATCGTCCTTGACTTACAACCACAACTGAGCCCAACATTTCCATGACTCACTTGACAATGAGTTTTGCCCCATTTTACTATCTTTCTCAACGCAGTTGTTAAGTGAATCCCTGCTGTTCTTAAATTAGTAACACAGTTATTAAGTGAATCTGGCCTCCTCATTGATTTGATTGGCCAGAAGGGCGTAGAAGATGACCCTGTGACAGTGCAACCATCATAAATTTGAACCCGTTGCCAAGCAACCGTACTCTGATCATGTGACTGTGGGGACGTTGCAATGATCGTAAGTGTGAAAAATGGCTTAAGTCACTTTTTTCAATTTTGAACAGTCACTAAACGAATGGTTGTAAGTCAAGGACTACCTCTACTTCCTTTCGCCAAGGGATTGGACACATACTTGAATTTTCCTTTTTCTAAAATTCCTTAGAGCATTTCCCCCCTTCCCCAACCAGGACATGCTAAGTTTAATCTTTGGTTTTTCTCTAAGTCCAAAAGGTGTAAACTATGCCTTTACTTTTTAAAAAAATATTTTTTATTAAACAATTTTTCTTATATACAACATAATTTCCATTCATTATAATGCTTTCGTGACGGTATACATATTTTTACATAAACCTTAACTATCGATACACTAGTCTGTGTTGCTTTATCTTTATCCACTATTACCTTATCTTATTGTCTGCTCTATTCAACTTTATTATTTAGCCAATCATACAGTACATTCCATGTCAAATAATAATCTGTTTCCTCTCTTTCCTTTATCTCCATGGTCAACTTATCCATCTCAGCACACACTAGTATTTTTCTTATCACATTTTCCTCTGGTGGCATACTATCATTTTTCCAATTCTGTGCATAAGTTATTCTTGCTTCCATTAATAAATGTAGCATTAAATAGTCTGTTTTCTTATCATATTTTCCCGTTATTATACCTAATAAGAAAGTCTCTGGTCTTAATTCAATTTGCTGTTTAAACTACGCCTTTAAAGACATGATCCTGTACAGGGAGCTGACATGTTTTATCTGGTTGTGCCTTTTTAGAAACGTCCAGAAAGAAGACCGGGTTCCCATGGCTGAAGAATATAATGAATACAAGCAGGTTAAGGCCAAACTGAGGCTGTTGGAGGTCCTCATCAGCAAAAGAGATTTAAGCTCCAAGATCATGTAATAAAGCTACGCTGGATTTGCCACTAATGTTAAGATGTCAATGCAGCCAAGTAATACAAAGAACTCGGCAAGAGCCTAATACCACAAAGGGCTTTCGTGGCTCTCCCTGACTGTCGTTGGCAGAAGATGATGGCCCGGTGTGAAGGAAGGAAGATCCTGCATCTTTCTTCAGACTTGTGACCTGTTCTGCCATCCAGGCTGGCAAGACTGGAAGGGCGTTGACCCACTAAAACGACTCTGCTCCACGAGTTTCTTTTTGCTTTTCATCAGTTGGTGGCCTGCAATTGCTTCGACTAAAACAACACAACAACAACAACAACAAAGACCTCACTTTTTTATCTTCTTTGGAGCATCAATGTAAGAAAGGTGATCTAGTTAGAGTTCTCATGAATCTCCAAAATAATGGCCTGTAATTTTCAGACCAATAAAGCAATCAGGTCTGTTCTAACAATAGGATGTATTTTCTGAGACAATTCGGAGAGGGTTGGTAGGTCCCTCTTGAAATCTCATCCCTGACTGCGGGGTTTTCGTGGTTATTGTTGGTACGTAGTTCTTGTAACCATTGCTCCAACTGAAAGTGGAATTGCCAATTGGTGGAGAACTGTTAAGCGTGGACTGCCTTGGCTTTTCAATATGGCTGCTTTTAAAAAAAAAACCAAAACACACTTTCTTACTAATGAGCTTTTCAGAAATGTTATTACACAACTCCTGCATCTGTTTAACCTGGAAGAAAGAAAACATTGCGGAAGTGGACCTTGGAGAAATTGGGCGTAGTTAACAGGACCCTCCGCAAGAGCAGGGAAAGGAGTAGGATGATCTTGGTAGCCAAGGTATTCTGATATAATGGTGGGTTTCAGACAATGTCTGGGAAGGGTTTATAATACTTTATCTTTGTCCTTGATGTGAAGATCGGGAATAATGGACAAGCATCCTGGAAAGGTGGAAGATTATAATTTGAATTTTCTTCTGCAATAATGGCATTCTCACAATCTGCTCTTGATTTGTGTCGGATCGTAATGGAATCCAATTTATCGGTGCCCTGCAATGTTTCTGAGAATTTTCTCCTGCATATTATTGTGGCAAATGCACCGAGGTTTTTCAGCAAAACCGATTTAATGCAAACGAGTTCCCTGGGCTTAGAAAGCGTTCAAATGTCCAGAGAGTGGACTTTTAAAATGAAATTAATGGAAATGACCGTTTGTCTCATACCCTTATAATTTTTGTAGCCCAGATAAGGTGGATCCGGTACTGATCTCGAGTAATTTTTTTTCCCTGTTCATGTTTAGTTGAAGATTTGTATGGCTTTGACGTTGGTGTATACTTTCAAATCTCTTGAGCAAAACGGCAGATAGTAGAACAATGCACTTTAGAAAGAAACATATATTTTTTTAGAAAATGGAAAACAGATTTTTAAAAATAATAATAATAATAATAATAACCAAATCTGTACCTAAATAAAGGAAAAAAGCATTTCATCTACCTGACTTTTCTGTTATGCCATTTTTAAAGGAAGGAAAAATATGTCTTAAAAACCTTCAAATTTGCCTAGACAAGTAGGCAGCTAATTGGAAAGTGTATTTATTGTAATAGATGCATACCTTTTGAAGCACCAGCATTAGGAAATCCTCGTATGTGTGCTTGATACAATGAATAATATCAGCATTTAATAGAAATGATTTCCACCTCCAAAATCAACTGAGTTAAAAATATAATCATCAAATTCAAAACTATTAATTTAAGGCTCAACCAAACAACCAAAATAATTGAAATTTTGGACCCAAATGAATGCAATATAGTTAAAGATTCAAAAATCTAATTCTCTAGGCTTTAAAGTAGCTTTAGACTTTTTTTTTTCTCAACAATTAGCCCATTGTGGCACATAATAAGCTACTTGTGAAAGTAAATACACTGTCAAATGAAGAATAAAAGGAAACTCTTTGTACTCTAATAATGTCCTTTAGCATAACTCTGTATAAAACTCCTTTTTACAAACCTGTAATCCCTTAATTCAAGGTAAGAGTCTGGGCAACTGGATGGAGCTGAGCATTTACTGGCCGATTGCCCTTCCTGAATGCCATGCAAAGTTCACAGCAGTTATTTTTGCTTTGCGCCCTAGGAAAGAAATATCTGCCGCTCCCTAGAATTGAACTGTCAACCTTCCAAGTGGGAGGCCAGCATCTTTCCCACTAGACCACCATGCCGCTCAGCATAACACTATATATTAACCCCAAATGTTTCATGAATTCACTGAAGTATACTATTAGCTAAGTATGAAGAGAATTAACAGGGGTAATTATTTTCATATTTTTATTTTTAACATGACCTTTCCCTTCCAAAACTATTGTTTGTGTGAAAAGAAAGATGAAAACAGATTTTTAAAAATTATTTTTAGAGTCTAGGTTAAGATTTTAATCGGAAACTTATCAAGTGATAACTATAAGTAAAAATGATGTTGAGGGTACATTGGTGGGATTCAAATTTGTTTACTGTGGGCGTGGCAGGGGAAGGATACTGTAAAATCTCCAGTCAGAGGTGGTATTTGCCGGTTCTCCGAACTACTCAAAATTTCTACTACCGGTTCTCCAGAACGGGTCAGAACCTGCTGAATACCCCCTCTGTTGAGGCGTCTGTTTCTTCTCTTTTGAATAATTATGACTCTCAAGATTCTAAAACGATAGGCAACCCTCCATTTTAAAACAAAGATTAACAATGAAACTTGCAGATAGAAATTATTCCCAGATTTAAAACAAAAACAAAAACTTGTAATTTGCTGGTGTGCTTACTCCTGAGTGAACAAATTAAGTCACATTTTTTTCTACATAAAAATAAACATGAAGCAACCAGCATGTCTTCTAATCATTGTTAAGCTTTAAGGTTTAATTTGTTTATTAAATGCTTGTGTCCATAGCCAAATTTATAATTAAAAGCTTAAGTGGCAAAGTCTATCTGAATTAGGTGGCAGCTGGACTTCCTGATAAGTTGGCATCAGAATATAAATCAATTTGCCATTTATATGCCTGCAATGAGCAAATCCACAGCAAGAATTTTTGGCATGTTTTGAGGTTCTCATACTAGTTCCCCCATTCCTCTTGCTACTGGATGAAAGCAGTGGACAAAATGCTGGCATTCCAGTTAGTCCTCAAGGTACAGCCATTTGTTTAGTGATGGTTACAATGGCACTGGAAAAAAAATGACTTACGACAGTTTTTTACACTGATGACCATTGAAGCATCTCCCTGGTCACGTGATTCAAAATTCAGATGCTTGGCAACTGGTTCATATGTATGACCGTTGCCATGTCCCAGAGTGATGTGATTCTCTTTTGCGACCTGACAATCAAAGATAATAGGGAAGCCAGATTCGCTTAACAACCATGTTACTCACTTAACAAGGGATTCACATAACAGTGGAGGCAAGACAGTTCTTAAAACGGGACAAAATTCACTTTAACAGCAGTGCCACTTAGGCAATTGAAATTTAGGGCTCAATTGTGGGTCGTACTGCCGAGGACAAATGCACTTAGTTGAGAATGGGGGTCTTGTAAAGAGCTTTTGGATGGGAAAAGGCACTGAATGACCATTGCAATATTCCCTTGGTCACGTGATGTAGTATTCCCCCCCCCCCCGTGTCACATGATCAAAATTTAGATACTTGTCGACTGATTCATATTTATGATGGTTGCAGTGTCCCGGGGGTCGCGTGATCCCCTTAACAACTGGGTTACTAATTTAGCACCTGCAGTGATTCACTTCACAACTGGCAAGAAAGGTTGTAAAATGGTGCCCAACTCACTTAACTGTCTCACTTAGGAACACTTTGGCCTCAATTGTGGACGTAAGTCAAGGACTACCTATATTATAATTGTGCTTTATAAAAGCACGGATTGTTGTCATTAGACTCCCTACCATGTTTTTGAGCTTTTAAATGAACAGAAGCATGTCTGAAAATCCAAATTACTATTTTCCAAAATATAAACTGCCTTTTTTCATTCCTAATTCTTCCTGGCACTATCCTGCAGAATAAGGGAAACTGGGACTCTATTGCCCCATTCTATGTTAATTCTGTAAATATAGTACTATCTTTCTTTTTTTTAAAGGAAGTCCACTATGCCCTGATCAAATTATGTTTCTGCTTCTTTTCTGAAGGGCCGTGAAATATTTTTAAAGCACACCATAATACCATTTTAAAACACAATGGAAGATACTCCAAGCAAATCCTTGCCAAGTATTATTAGTAGTCGTTATCCTACAGGTTGTAAGAAATTTTGCCATGGCAAAGAAACTCATACAGAAGAGGTTCATAAACCTGAAAATGTCAGTATAAAGTGGGTGCATTCAATGTTTTTCTTATAAGAAGCTATTTTCCATTCTCTGGAACAATTCTATAATATTGCTTAGGTGTTCAACAGTGACTGAAAAATATTTTCAAAGTTATCTTTTTTTTTTTTTGTCCAATGATCTGTAAGCATGCATGCATGCTTTGATACTTCATCACTGGTCTACATCTATGTATATTGAAAGATCTAATTGTACTTGGAGCAGATTCCTAAAGATATTCTGTATACAGACTGTTGAGAACAGCATTATTCTGCAGTTCCCAATAATTTTTGATGAACCGTGTACCAAAGTTTCCACAGTGTGTGTGCCTTTTTATTTTGAATATACAAACTGCCCTGATTAACATAGAAAAGCTAAAAGCTAATCATTCTTAATCATTCTATACAATCGTAGAAAATTCCTTTGTCAAAAGTCATCTATGGTTTCAGACATAACAATACATTATTATTATTATTTTGCTGAATGATCATTCACTTTATGTCCCTGGTGAGATTTAACGGACACAGTTCTATGTTTACATCACAGAATAAAAATGCATTTAATTCACTGCAACTTTTTAAAAATGCAAACTAATTGACAAAACTATATGTGTGCATTTTCGTACATGATGGTATATTTTGTATGAAAGAAAGAAATAAACTATTTTTGAGTGAACGTCTCCATAAATCCTTGCTAACAATGTAAGGGTGCCACCAGTATTTCTCAAATGAATTTATAATCCTCTATCTGTCTGTTCATAGTTTAGAAATGTTACAAAATGTTTGGTTCTCCATCAACTCCTCATTGGGGGAGACACCCTGGTTGCCATTACAAGAGAAAAATCAACAGTCTGCTGCCAGTATCCACTTCTGGCTCCAGCAGTCCCAAGTCTAGATCGATGTCCTCCAGTGGTGGGATTTTTACTACCGGTTCTGCGAGTGTAGCTTGGTGAACATAGCAGGGGAAGGATACTGAAAAATCTCCATTCCCACCCCACTCCTGCAAAATCCCCATTCCCTCTCCACCCTACTACCCTGCTTTCCAGCTCCATTCGCCTGTGCAGGGCAACAAAAGAAGACCCAGCCGATCAGCTGGGACTCGGGAGGCAGAGAATAGATCAGGGCAGGGCCAGGCGGAGGTGGCATTTGCCAGTTCTCCGAACTACCCAAGATGTCCGCTACCGGTTCTCCAGAACTGGTCAGAACTTACTGAATACCACCTCAGGCAAAGGCCATGATCCACAAAGCTGGGTTGCCTGATATAGTTTTAATTGGAGCATTCAGTTGCATTGAATCATTTTTCCCCGCCTGTCTGGATTCCTGCAATCTGCACAATGTGGAAATATCTTTGAAAGCTATCTCCAAAAGTATAGTTAGTTCAAACTGTAGCAGTCCACTTATTGGTCAGCACTCATCACTTTAAGTAGGCCCAGCCATTTTTGCAGTAAATTGGGTTTTCAGTAGTTTTTGGATGCAATTTGTCAATTTTGACTTAAAAGGGACCTGTATGGCATGACACTTTCAAGACTGCTGACTCCAAACAACGCGTCAACCTGTCCAAGATGAGACTCGTAAAAAAAATGCTAGCAGTGTTTCTGTGGTAAGGTGAGAACTGAACACTGTTCTATTGTTACCAACATCGGAGCAAATTCCCCTTAAGAGTGCATTTTCCCCTTTGGTAGCAGCCTTTTGAAACTCAGGCAAGGCCCTTTTAAAAATGATTGTAGCCACTATATATTAACAATGTCAGTCTGGTATTTAAGATGGTTTCTATTTTCATTATTTGAGGTGGGTGAGATTAGTCTGAAAATACTATGATGGACTTTGAAATTATACATTTTCTATTCCCGTAAGCCACTAAGAGTTCTGAAGGATTTGCAGCAAACAGATGGGATAAATAAATCACTCAAATCTCAGTTACTTATCCGTTGGTTTCCATGGGAAATGACATTGCATACCATCTTTAAATATTTTCTTAGAATTGGGCCTGGGGCTCTAGCATTTTCCCATGCTGCTGTACAGGTAGTCTTCAATTTACAACAATTCATTTAGTGTTTGGGTATGTTCGTCCGCCACCTGAAGACATTTAAAAGTAGCCCTTGACTTACAACCGTTTAGTGACTGTTCAAAGTTACAATGGCACTGGACATATGGCCGGTTTTCACACTAAGAAACATTGCAGCATCCCCATAGTCATGTGATCAACATGCAGGCATTTGGCAATTGGCATGAATTTGTGACATTTGCATTGTTCCAAGGTCATGTGATCACCATTTGCAACCTTCCCAGCTGGCTTCTTACAAGCAGAGTCAATGGGTGAAGCCAGATTTGTTTAACAGCTGCATGATTCATGTAACAATTGCAGTGGTTTGCTTAACAGTCAGCAAAACAGGTCGAAAAATGGGGCAAAACTCATTTAACTGCCTTGCTTAACAACAGAAATTTTGGGCTCAAGTGTGCTCCTATACTTTACCTATACTTAACCACCTGTACTTTAGTGAGGTAAGTCCGTTCCCAGCTGCAAGGCAATTCAATCTATTGGCAATCCTGTTGGAAAAAAAATGGAACCTTCTGCACTTTTTTGCACACACAGAGGTCACTCTGAGTGTATGTGGCGTGGTGTTCTACTCTGGTAAGATAGAAAATTGTAACTAGAAATGATGTTATTGCAGAGTCCCTCAATGTTTCACAGCTTTGCTGATTTTATTCATTTGGGTTCCTGATCTCCGTGATATAATCCTGCGAAGGCCATCAGTGCTCATATGGGTCTTTCCTATCCCAGAGCTTAGTTGCAACCATCCAACAAATGCCCATTGTGTTTCCAAAAGTAAATCCTGCCAGAAATGAAAGCTTTGAGGTATTACGGGAAAACGGTAAGCGTGTTTCTTGGGATTATTGTGTGCTTCCCAGCACTGGTGCTCAACAGGGAAAGAGAGGTTAAAACTTGTCTCAATAATGCCGGCCAGCTGCATGTCATTCAGGGATTAGTCAAGCTGAAATCTGCCTTGGAAAGAGACTAGAAAACATGTGATGTTCCTTTCTGCCAAAAGGGGTATTTTTCTGGTTCCACAAAAGAAGGCCACCATCTTAAAAGTCTTCTAAGAGACTTTTGGTGGCACAGTAATTAGAATGAAGTACTGCAGGTTAATTCTGCTGACTGCCAGCAGTTCGATCCTGAACGGCTGAAGGTTGACTCAGCCTTCTATTCTTCCGAGGTCGGTAAAAAAAGGACCCACATTGTTGGGGCAGTATGTTGACTCTGTAAACTGCTTAGAGAGTATGCTAAAGCACTGTGAAGCTGTGTAGAAGTCTAAATGCTATTGCTAATGCATATCTCAGTTTCCCCAACCTAATTTTCTCCAGTTCCATTGGACTGCCAACTTTCAAAAGTCCCAATCAACAGAGGGAGGAAGAAAGGATTAATGATTTCAACCTGAGACCAATTCAACCAGTTCAGACATGATAGCAGTTGTCCAATATCTCAGGGACTGCCACAAAGAAGAAGGGATCAACCAGAGGTGGTATTCAGCAGATTCTGACCAGTTCTGGAGAACCGGTAGTGGAAAATTTGAGTAGTTCGGAGAACCGGCAAATGCCACATCTGACTGGCCCCACCCCCATCTATTCTCTGCCTCCCCATTGAGTCCCAGCTGATTGGCTGGGTCTTCTTTTGTTGCCCTGCACAGGAGAACGGAGCTGGAAAGCAGGTTAGTGGGGTGGGGAGGGAATGAAGATTTTGCAGTATCCTTCCTCTGCCACGCCCACCAAGCCACGCCCACAGAACCGGTAATAAAAAAAATTGAACCCACCATTGGGATCAACCTATTCTCCAAAGCACCTGAAGAAAAGACAAGAAGCAATGGATGGCAACTGATCAAGGAGAGAAGCAACCAAGAATTGAGAAATTTCCTGACAGTGGGAACAAATAAACTAGTGGAATGTCTTGCCTTCAGACATTGTTGGTGCTCCATCACTGGAGGCTTTAAAAGAAAAGACTGGACAACCATCTGTCTGAAATAGTATAGGGTTTCCAACCTGAGAGGTTGGACTAGAAGACCTCCAAGGTCCCTTCCAGCTCTGTTATTGTTATTCTGTTAACCCTTTCGGTTACTCTTTACAGCAGTCCATTATACCAGAGAGGAAAGAAAGCAAAAAAAGAGCACTAATTAGCTCCAAATATGCACTGGAGTTGTAGAATTTAAAAATGAATTTTAGATTTTCTGAAATCTGACAGTTGGAAAACCTTCAAAACTGTCCTTACTAGTTAGTAACTTGTGTGTAGAAACCATAAGGGCTGTGTCCTTAATCCATTACCTCAGAAGTTTTTAAAAAAATCTGAAAAGGATATTTAAAAAAAACAAAAACATTTTCCTCACAGATCCCACCTTCCTCTCTCCTGGCACTTATCATGGTGTAACGTCTCCTGCTTGGGTGGGGGGTTGGACGAGATGACCTACAAGGTCCCTTCCAACTCTGTAAATCGGTAGTTATCAGTACTGGTAGAAAAAGAGCTGAGCCCATCAGTATTAGTCCTTGGTTTTTTTTAACATTCCTTAGTAGCACCGAGAACTTATTTTCTTCTTGAAGCACCATGAAAGCAGTATAAAGCCTGAAGGAAACATTCCATTTATTGCATAATATTGAGCTATGTACACACACATACAAAATAAGCATTTGATAAAGTTCTCTCAAAGTTGCAAGTAAAAAGAGGCCCGTTGGTTACCCAAACAGCAGTGACCCCTTAATGCTTTTAAAGCTTTTCATCAGGGAAAGTGCAAAACATGGTTGAATTAAAAGGTACACAAGTAGTGCGGCTCCATGCCAACCAAAATTGAATTACGACTAAAGTCCACCTCGCTCGCCTGACTGAAAAATAAAAATCCCTCTTCATGGCTGCGCTGAATCAGGATTGCAATTAGCTTTTACCTCCATCAGACCCAAATGGATTAATTCCATTAGTTTCCATGGATTCAATTATCGACTTTAACTTGGCTTGGACCACCAATTGATAAAATTATCGGGGAGCAGGGGAGGGAATATTCATGGTGAGTTCTAAAATAAATTTGTGTGGGGGAGAGATTTTGCGGGGGAGAAGGAAAGGAAGCTGGTTGTCATTTTTCTTCCATTCACCCCACTGTCATTTGGCTCTGGATCTATTTCAGTGGGGCACAGAAGGCCTGCTTCTAAAATAAAAATAACCATCATCCATTGATAAGACAAGGTAGAATGGCAAAGAGATATTCAGTCTGCAAGAAACACATCTGCACACATCTGTGCACTGAGATGGGAGGAAAACGTGGACTATGCCAGGGGTGTCAAACTCAAGGCCTGTGGGCCGAATCCAGCCTGCAGGTTGCTTAGATCTGGCCTGCAGGGTCGCCCTGGAAACAGCAAAGGACCGGCCTGCTGCACTTCTGCCAGCGAAAACAGAGTGCAGCCCTCCAAGGCTCCGTTTTTGGCTATGAGAGCCTCTTGCAACCCTCTGCCAGCAAAAACAGAGCTTGGGGGCCTTGCAGCCCCCCCCCCCCGGCCCCCTTTTTGGCCCCGAGAGCCTCCCGCACCCCTCTGCCAGCAAAAACAGGGCTGGGGGGCTTTGCCCCCCCCCCCCCGGCCCCATTTTCGGCCGCAGCAGCCTCCTGCAGCCCTCTGCCAGTAAAAATGGGCCCGGGGTGTGTGTGTTGTCATGCGCCCTCCCACTGAGCTCCATTTTCAGTGGCAGTGGATTATCAAAACAAACTAAAAATAAAAAGAGAAAGGAAAGAGGAAAGAAAAAGGAAAGATGGGAAGAGAATAAGGAAGGAAAAATAAGGAAAGAGGGGAAGGAAGGAAGGAGAATGGAGAGGGAAGGAAAAAGAAGAAAAGGAAGGAGGGAGGGAGGGAGGGAGGGAGGGAGGGAGGGAGGGAGGGAGGGAAGGAAGGAAGGAAGAAAGGAAGGAAGGAAGGAAGGAAGGAAGTTATGACGAGAGTGAGGGAAGTCCTGCTTTAGCACTTGGCCACCACAGGTGCTCCCTGTGGTGACACTGAACTGGCTACACCCACCCCGGCCCTCCCAAGATCAAACACAACCCCGATGCAGCCCTCAATGACATTGAGTTTGACACCCCTGGACTATGCTGTGAAATTCCCATTCCTAGTGGCAAATAAAAAAACACTGCACTGAAACACAAATTCTCCTTGGAACAATTAACCCAAAGGTAAAGTATTCAGCTCCTGGAGTCCAATTTTGCATAATCTCTGCTGCCCTGCAGCTCTCCAAGAGGAAGCTCTGCGGTCCAACAGAAAGCCAAGAAGATTTACTTCACTGATCATTTCCTGCAGACTGTAGGAAAAGGAGAAATTCTGCAAAGGAGAGAAACTCGTTTCCTGTCACCACTCTTCCCATCTTTAAGGATGAAGACATTATCCCCGGAGCTAAGAAAAACTGGTCTGTGAGCGAAGAAGGAAGTTCTGAGGTGACGGAGAAGGAAACGGAAAGGAATTCACAGTTGCAGAGATGAAACAGAAATTCACAGTAGGGCAGAATCTACGTTTTGGAAAAGAAGGGATACACCTCAGGAATACAAAGGTAATTTCCCAGCCTTCAGAGAAGCAGAGAGAGAAAAGGCCATTTTAAACTGAAAGAAGTTATCCAATAAACACAAGATTTAAGACAGGGATGTCAAACTTAAGGCCCGGGGACCGGATCCGACCCAAGGAGTGCTTAGATCTGGTCCCTGGGGCCACATTGGAAACAGCAAAGGACCTGCCTGCAGTGCCTTTGCCAGTGAAAATGGAGCGTGTGGTCCTCCCGAGCTCCGTTTTCGCTGGCAGAGAGTTGCAGGAGGCCGTCGCAGCCGAAACGGAGTTTGGAAGCTCATTTTTGCTGGCAGACCCCTCGGGCCGCCACAGGCGGCCCCAACATGAATGACGTCAAACTGGCCATGCTCACCCTGGCCCCGTGAGACCAAACACAATCCTGATGCGGCCCTCAATGAAATAGAGTTTGACACTCCTTATTAAAGAGATAGGTCAAAACTGTGAACGTCAAAACCCCAAGAAACATGGATAGACCTTTTTCCTCCCTTCCCCCCCACCCCCCCCCCCCACTTCCTTCCCCCTGGCTTCCCTGAGCAGCGTGTCCCATTTCCCTACAAAAGGAAGAACAAGACAAAAGAGTTTTCTTTCAGTTTCAAATGGTCTCTGTTGGAGGGGGAGTGGCCAGTGCTCAGGCCAAGCTGAAGCCCTCGTAATGGTCGATGGCTTGAGTCAGTCGCGTGCTCAGGGTTTCTTTACTGCTGTACTTGGGCAGGTCCAGGAGGTTGTAGCAGGTGTGGGCCACCGGCAGGTACCGCTCGTCACTGGAGGTGGACTGAATGATCATACGCAAACTGGACATGCCGTAGATGGGGATGCGGTCGCTGCCAGTCAGGAACACTGTCAGGAGGACACGAAAAGAAAAAGCATGTCAGAAGCAGTGGTGGGATTCCAATTTTTTCCCCACTGGTTCTATGAGAGTGCGCTTCGCGCGTGCGCACAGCAATCAGAAACCGCCCTCTGTCAGCGCTGGTGAGGTGAGCTGTTTTTTAGCTCAGCTGAGGGACGGCAATCTGCTCCGCTGAGTAAATCAGCTGAGCTAAAAAACAAGGGAATATAGGACATGATAGGGTGGGTGCGGGTAGGCAGGGCCAGCCAGGTTCTCTGAACCAGTCAAAATTTCCGCTACCGGAACACCGGTAAGAAAAAGATCTCACGAAGTTGGAATTGATTGAGTGGACTTTTTCACCCTGCACTTCACAATGGGGGAGACGGGGTCCCGTCCTCCTCCTGAAGCCCATTATGACATGGAGCTGCAATGTGACCCTGTGTCGGCTCGGCAAAAACAAGCAGTTTCTTTTCCTGCAGAGCTGCCTATGTTAGGATGTCCCGCCTCCCCACTGCCAGCTGAGCTTTGGCATACCGCTCCTGGGCTCATTGGCCTACGGAAGTCAGATTCCCATCAACCAATACCAGTTCAGGGGTTCCTTCCTCCCCCATGGGGGGGGGGGAATAGAAACAGAGGAAGAGAGAGAGAAACAGAGAGGGGGAGGGAAAGAGAGGGGGGAGGGAAAAAGAAAGAAAGACAGAGAGAGAGAGAGAGGGAGGGAGGGAGGGAAAGAGACAGGGAAAATGAAAGAGAAAGAGGGGGAAAGAGGGAGAGGGAAAGAGAAAGAGGGGGGAAAGAGGGGGAGAGAAAGAAAGAGAGAAAGAGGGGGGAAAGAGGGGAAGGGAAAGAGAAAGAGGGAGGGAAAAAGAGAGAAAGAGGGGGAAAGAGGGGTAGGGAAAGAGAAATAATATTACAAAAGTTTTTTCTTTTTTATTGTTGCTAAACATATTTCAAAAGTAGGGGGGGAAATGAAGTGGTATAAAAGTGCACTTATCACGTTTTTCTTAGAACAATTAGCTGAACTCTGCGTTGTTTATTTTTATTTTAGGTGGTAAAACCTCATTATTCAGGTTAAATTGTCATGTTGGCACTTTGCAATAAACAAGTGGGTTTTGGGTTGCAGTTTGGGCACTCGGTCTCTAAAAGGTTCACTATCATTGCATCTTGCAATCTCATCCTGAACTCCCCAAAGATGTCAGACATTGCAAAAAAAAAATCCAAACAATCCTTTGATTTACAGTTACAATGTTTGGGGCAGTTTTATCCTTTTTCCACATCTATTAAAACCCTTCTCTTCCATAGACCGATCTTCCAAACCAACAAAATCCAGGACAAATTTCTTCAAAAACCATGTCATTTCTGTAAGTCTGAGAATCCGCTCTAAAAAAAAACCTTCAAGCAAGAATAAAGTAGCAGCCTCAAAAGTTTCTCATTGCTAGTTTTCTACATGGAAGAGCAGGAGTTGTCTAAGAATTTTTCTTATATTTTCTTCACAGTTAAGCTAGAAGATTTGCCCGTCACATGGTAGAAATCTACTGTCTGTGTTATACTAGCACACCTCAGTGAGAGAATCACCAGTCTGAATTGAGTCTCAGATGAAGAGAACAGTTAGAGTTCTGCGTTAATACTTACAAAGAAATCTCTTCTTCTTTTCTAAAGGGAATTCATGAAACGTTTCCCAGAACATTTGTATAGTTGGGTGTGTGGCTGAATAATCTCCCTTGTAACTTGTACTCTGTAAAATAGATACAAATGATCACATGTTGTTTAAGAAGAGGTCGATTGTAAAAATAATAATAGTTTGAAATAATAATTCGGGTATGTTGGGTAAAGAGCCCACTAACCTCTTCCAGATCCTTCCAGTTGTATTTGCTACTTCCCATGATCATAGCCCTCAGCTCAGTAGGCTGGAAGAGTTCAAGCACCTTCCCACCACACACCTTCAAGAAGCCACTGGAGAAAGCCGTATACCACTCGTGCACTGAAACGTTGAAGACGTAATTCACGTAGGCATCCACAAATTCCTCTCTGGGGGAAATAGAAGGAACATCATGTTTCTTTGTTTATACTATAGGTTGTTGGACTCCCCACAACTTTAGGTGAAGGTAAAGGTTAAGGTTTCCCCTCACACATACATGCTAGTCATTCCCGGCTCATTTCCGTTACAAAGCCGAAGAGCCAGTGCTGTCCGAAGATGCCTCCGTGGTTATGTAGCCAGCAAGACTAAACATTGAAGGTGCACGGAACTCTGTTACCTTCCCACCAAAGTGGTCCCTACTTTTCTACTTGCATTTTCACATGCTTTCAAACTGCTAGGTTGGCAGAAGCTGGAACAAGTAACTCACTGGAACAAGAAACTCACTCAGTTATGCGGCACTAAGGATTCGAACCGCCGAACTGCTGACTTTTCTGATCAACAAGCTCAGCGTCTTAGCCACTGAGCCATCACGTCCCTTATTTCTCACAACTTATTTCTCTCACAATGGAAATGATCCTTGGCTCCATTTGTTGAGAAAAGGCATAGTTTATTAGAGATCAGATAGGGAAGGAAGGGAGAATCTTTCATTGATAAAGAAATGGAGTTTTTATACATCCTTGGTCCTCACTCAATTTGCGAATGTAAGGCCAACATAGATCATCAACAGTCTTGATAAATAATGTTGGAGATTGCAAATAAAGCATTCTAGTCCCTTTTTTTCCTCTCCTGTGTACATATATGACCTAATCTTTCAATCTGGCTGTAGCACAAATGCAGGATATTAGATGGGATCAGTTTTCTCCAATCTGATCACACCCACTATCTGTTATAAGTGCCCATTTGGCACAGTTGCAGGGCACAAAGTCGAACAAGAGTGTTCTATGGAAATCTACTGAAAATGCAGCAGAAGGCAATATGCGCTAGAATGAACAGAAGCTTGAATCCATGTATCAGAATCTAATATGGGCAGCACAATAGCTCAGTGGTTAAAACGCTGGACTTGTCAGCTAGAAAGCAGACAGCCCAAGTTCAAGACCTGAGCATCGCGCAATGGGTGAGCTCCTATCTTTCCTTACTCCTGCCCACCTAGCAGTTTGAAAGCATGCAAATGCAAGTAGATAAACGGGTACCACTTCTGTGGGGAGGAAACCACGCTATGCAATGTCATGCTGGTCACATGACAGCGGAAACGTCTTCAGACAGTGCTGGCTCAACACCCTTGAACTGGAGATGAGTGAGCCCCCTGTAGTCAGCAACGAATAGCGGAGTAAAATATACACAAATTCCTTTCCTTCCGTTAGCGTCTATGTCCCATTGGACTGAGCCAAATCTGAGATAATGAATGAGGCCAGAAGCAAATAATAGAACCTGGTCTGTCTTATTTCTCACCATCCCATCATGGATTAATTATTGGTTTGAAACAGGTTTCCTCATTGCTCTTTTTTCCTTAAGTTTCATTTTTAGATGCATGTCCTCCTACCTGATTAGGCAAATTTGATATTCTAAAGAATTCTAAACTGAAGCTGTTGGCCTCATGGTGAAGCATCCCAAATCTTTCAGAAAATCATTCAGGTTCAATCATTTAACCTTCTTCAACCTTACCGTCAACCCAACACTTACCTATTATTGTTCTGCACAGGTATTTTGTCTCCATCAGGAACAAGATTTTTCTGTTCCACTACTCCATAACTTTCTTTGCATATCTGTATTTCCAACCCAAACAAACGATGGCAAAGCTGAATTATTCCTTTATCTCTTGAGCAACAGCAACAGCATTATTATTTTCCAGCAGGGACACATTTTAAACAAAACCTTTGTCTTTCCAACATGACTAATGTTAAGATAGTCTTGGTTTATTGCAAATGACAATTGCTAATTTGACATACCAGGAAGTGTCAACTTTGCAACAACTAAGTATACGATTCATTCCAAAATCTATAGGACAGATTTTTGAAAGCTGAAAAATCCCAGAATTCTCAGCTATTTATTCAATCTCGAATTTTCAGGATTGTGGTCAACATTTCTAGAGTGTGCCCAACTAGGAAATATGGGGATAGATAGATTCTGAGATACCTTCAGATTAATAAAGCTTCTAGGCTGTCTCTATCTCTTTTCCTCTCTGTGATAATCCAGTGTGAGGAAGCAGAATTAGGACTTACAGAAAATGCATCCATCTTAAAGAACTAGAAGGGACTATCCAACCTATGAAGTCCAACCTTCTGCTTAGTACAGGAATCCAAATTAAAGTCCTAAACAGAAGGCTATCCACTACCTGCTTGAAAATTTCCAATGAGGGAAACATGTTCTACAGTTGTAGATAAATATCTCTGGAGATTCTCAGTCATCCAGGTCATGGTTGTCCCAAAAGTGCTTTTTTCAAGAGGCAAACTGGACTTCCTTGTTTTTCTTTGAAGACGTTTCACTTCTCATAAGAAGCAAAATGTCTTCAAAGAAAAACAAGGAAGTCCAATTTACCTCTTCAGAGCTGAAGAAGCTTCTGGAATGAGAAGTGAAACATCTTTAAAGAAAAACAAGAAAGTCCAGTTGCCTCTTGAAAAAAAAGCACTTTGGGGATGTTCTACCGTTGAGACATTTTTTTGTCTCCAGTCAGAATCTGCCTCTTATACTCCCAACATGATTGACAACAGATCATGTATTTTCAAACTTACAGTTGAAAGGATCCAAAAATGGGAGTGTTGGGAGATATGGGACCAAGAAGAAAAACTACACCATTTTTCAGTAATACGTCTTTTTTGCTATATCTCAAATGCCCACCACAAATATCCCCTAATGCCCCCAAACCTCAACATTAAAAGAGGTCGCCTCCTCTTGATGTATCTCCTGGAAATGGGAGAGCAGCGTGCCAAAAAGCTCCTATTTCCAACCAACGGGGAACTAATACTGTTCTGAAGCGCTGGCATTCGTTAAGCTTTCGCAAACACCAAAAGTAGGTATGAATTGTCCTTACTGTAAAGGAGAGGCAGAATGTTTCTTCAATGTCTTCCCCGGGATAATCTAGAAGCTCTTGGAGGCTCCTAAACAGAAGGATTAAAATAGCAGGAAGAAAAAGGGAACCATTTATTGGTAGCTTTAAGTATATGTACAGGTAATCCTTGGTTTCTGATCACAACTGAGCCCAAAATTTCTAATTTTTAAATGAGACATTTGTTAAGTGAGTTTTGCCCCATTTTATGATTTTTCTTGCCACAATTGTTAAGTGAATCATTGCAGTTAAGTTAGTAACCTGTTTGTTCAATGAATCTCTGCTTCCCCATTGACTTTGCTTGTCAGATGACCTTGGGACCCTGCAACGGTCATAAATAGGAATCCGTTGCCAAGCATCGGTATTTTGATCACGTGATCACAGGGATACTGCAATGGTCATAACTGTGTTACAGTCACAAGTCCCTTTTTTCCAGTGCTGTTCTAACTTTGAACAGTCACTGAACGAGTTGTTATAAGTCGAGGACTACCTGCATCTTGCTTCATTACAGGTAGTTTTCGCCTTATGACCATAACTGAGCCCAACATTTCTGTTCCTAAGGGAGACATTTCTAAGTGAGTATTGCACCAAGTGCAATTAACTTGAACAAGGTTGAAGGATCGGGAGCTGCCCACTTGACATTGAATCTGTGTCATAAGTACCCTCCAAATAATTTCCATCAGAACTTCAAAAGCAACCGCTTCTAAGTCAAGGACCATCTGTGTTTCACAATCGATCATATAATGCACGGGTGTCAAACTCAATCACATCACGTGACGTATCATGACGTATCGTGGCAGGGTTTTTTGTCTTTGTAGAGCCAGGGTGGGCATGGCCTGCGTGTGATGCAGGCCGTGGACCTGATATAATCTACTCAAGTACATGCAGAAACATGGCACAAATCAAGAGAAAGCTCAATTTTCAGATGCAGTGGGAGAGGCAGCGATATCTCCTGCCTTTTGTAGAGGAATTCTTTGAAGCACTTAAAGGGATCCCTCTTGTTTTTCCTCACATTTTGTGAGGTAAATTAGGCTATGAAAGAAAGAGAGACCCGGCCAAAACCAACCAGCGAGCCAATCCATGGCAGCAGGGGTGGGATTCAAATTTTTTAACAACCGGTTCTATGGGCGTGGCTAAGTTGGTGGGCGTGGCCTGGTGGTCATGTTATTGGCTGGGGGTGGCCAACTCAATATCACTCACATCGAGGCACGCATCTCCTCACCTGGCCTCTCATGACTTTGGGAATGTTGCAACAGTCGTAAGTGTGAAAAATGATCATAAGTTACTTTTTTCAGTGCCATTGTAACTTTGAATGGTCACTCCACATAAGCAAAGTACCACCAAACGAGGGGAAAAAAAACTCCAGAGAAGTTCCAGAGATAGGAAGTCTAGTCCTGCCAAGAATGTAATAAGGGTTAACAGAGAGGCAGTTTCTGTAAGCAACACCAGAATGTTTCCTTCCTGCCTTCCTTATAGGATTAGGCCAGTAGTTTCTTCTAACAACCGGTTCTCCGAACTGCATAGAATGTTAACAACCGGTACTAGCAAATAGGTGCGAACTGGTAGAATCTCACCCCTGCATGGCAGACTAGAATCTGGGTCTCCTCATTCTTCATCTACTATCTTTCCTACAGGTAGTCCTCAACTTACAACAGATCATTTAGTGACCGTTCAATGTTACAACAGCACTGGAAAAAGTGACTTATGACCGTTTTTCCCATTTACCACCTTTCTAGCCTCCCCAGGGTCACATGATCAAAATTCAGATGCTTGGCAACTGGTTCATACATAGGACCATTGCTGTGCCCCAAGGTCATGTGATCCCCTTTTGCGACCTTCTGACAAGCAAAGTCAGTGGGGAAGCCGGATTCACTTAACAACCTTGTAACTAACTTATCAACTGCGGTGATTCGCTTAACAACTGTGGCAAGAAAGGATGTAAAATGGGGCAAAGCTCGCTTGTCTCACTTAACAACAGAAATATTTGGCTCAATTGGGGTTGTAAGTCAAGGACTGCCTGTACTACACCACACCGGTTGTCAAATTTTGCATATGTTGGGCATACACAATTCATGGCTCTTTTCCAAAGGTCTTATATATAATCACACGGTTTGCTTTTAATGTTACTTTGAGGGATGGAAAGCTTCATTTTCTAAGGAAATGTACTGAATTCCAGCCTAAAATCTATGTTTTCCTACTCTTTTCTTTTCCCCTGCAAGAGAAGACATTGTAATTTTATGCTGATCGCGCAAAGTGGCCAGGAGAACATCCCTGGGCAACATCTACCTTCCTTCCAGGGGAGAGAGCTCCTTCAAGTCATCCAGGCCGGGTGTCACATTCAGGAGTTTCTTATATAAAGCCAGTGGAAAGTGGAGGTCCACCACGGTGAAGTTGTAGATAGCCAGACCACAGATGATGCCAATTAGGTGAAACCAGTTGTGCTCAACAAAACACTTTAGGAAAAAGGAAAGCAGCATTAGGAGGAAGCCTAGAACTAACATCATAGATTTCAGGTTAAAAAGACGCTAAATTCACTTCCAAACCAACATCTGTTTTGCTCAGCCTTTCTTCACTGGAATACTCCAGATGTACTACTACACAGAGCAATCTGATCCCTAAAGCAAAGGTCCCCAACCCCTGGGCCGGCAGCAGGTGCGGACGGTGGAGGAGAGCGAGGACTCGGATGAGAAGCCAGGAAGATCAGGGAGTGGGCTGCTGCCTTCAGGGATTGTGGGGGCTGGCAGCAGTGATGAGGAGGTTCCCGAGGAGCCTGTGCTAAGTGCACATGAGCACAGGAGGATTCGTAGAAGAGAATAGCTGGAGCAGCACAGGCGACTCGGGAGTAAGGATGGAACGTAATGGACCCTCCCTCCAGGGAATATAAGCTTGGTTTCAAAAGGTTTTTGCCTTTGCAGAAGGCAAAAACGCTCTGAGGACCCAGCATCATGTGTAGAGACTCCGGCTTATCTGAAGAATTCTGTCAAGGTTTTTCTGATTGAACTAATTGGCTGCAAGCCATCTTTTATCTGCAAAGAAGTTTATTTGTAGATTAAAGCTGTGAAGGTTTGAGTTGCTGCGTTTGTTTGAGATTTTCTTGCTGGTAACAGGGTTGGGTCAGAATACTACTGGACCGTGGCCCATTCGGAACCGGGACGCACAAACAGCTGGCCGGAGCATGCGTGTGCGCATTTTCACTTGCCCAAGCAACAGACTGGCATGCACGCAGCTTGTCTTGCATGAACAGTGGGCCAGTGCACAAGCACAGCTCGACTTGCGTGTACAGTGGGCTGATGCATGCACCTGTGGCGCACACATAGGATGCCCCACCACTTGCGCAGGCGCGTCCTCCTCTCCCCCTCACTGGCTCACCAAGCCATAAAAGTTGCCATACAGAACTCCAAGGCTACACAAGACTAAATAAATTCTTGAGTCGATTACAGATAGCCCTCGACTTACAACTGTAACGGAGCCTCCCCATCCCAGTCTTTAAGTCACTGCAGTTGTAAGTCAGGACATCCACCTGACCTGATTTTATGATCCTCTCTGCAACAGGTGTTAAGCAAACCCAATGGTCATAAAGCAGCTACTTTGGTCACGAAGCAAATGCCATGACCATTAACCAAAGCAATGGTTGCTATGGGACATTTTTGCCGACAACTGGAGGAAAATGCCAGGATTTGGCAAAATCATCCTAACGTATGACCATGAGGCACTGCAAACAGCCATAAATAGCTGAGTGTCCGACATGTGTTCACATGACTTTAGGGGGGAGGGGGGAGGAGAGAAGAGACTGGCCACTGGAACTTCAGAACCATCATAAATACCCTGGGGAGGTCCATTGTCATTTCGAACGGACGCTAAGCAAGGATTGCCTGTATCCAGAAGAATGCAGTAGCCATACTTACAGTATCCGAGAACCAGAGCAGATTTGAGTCTGAATAGCAGGTGAACATTCCATAGATGGGATTCAAGAGCTCTTTCAGTAGCAGGAGAAAGAATTCCTTTGTGACGCCACCAGCATCTACAGCTTCCTCACCGTCAAAGATCACCTACCAGAACATACTGAATTGATTTCAACAAGGGCAATTTTATTTAACTATTAAACAAATGTATACGGCCACCCACCTTACAAACAGTGCCTTAAGATGGTTTTTATGGGCAAAAGAGAATAACCGATTGTCATTGTTGTTAGATTTTGCAGCAGAAATTCAAATCCAGAAAGCACACAAAGATGACTGATTCAGCAGGTTTCATTAACTTCTTTATATACATAATAATAAGAGTAAAATGTGCAATACCAATAGTAGATTCTTCCAACGTAACACAAATAAAACACAAGCAGCAGCTTCAGAGTTCGGAGCAGAGACTAGAGCCACACCCAGGCTACTTCTAATTTCATTTTCCAATTCAGCTCCCATTGGCTGCTCTGTTGCCATGCCTATTCATCGGCTGACTTTGTTACCAAGCTCAATTCCAGTTCATGAATATACTCTGACAATTGTCTAGGGAGATTCTCGATCATGTAGGTCATGGTTGTCCAAAGGTGCTTTTTGAAGACACAACTGGACTTTGTTTTTCCATGAAAACATTTCAATTCTCAGCCAAGAAACTTCCGTTCTGAACTGAAGAAGCTACTTGGATGAGAAGCAAAATGTCTTTAAGGAAAAACAGAAAAAGTCCAGCTGCCTCTTTAAAAAGCACCTTTGGGACAATAGATTCATTGTATTTTACACTGAAAGAAAAATGGGATGCCAAGGCACAGCAGGGGATCTCACCTGAGAAAGTCGTCATATTTTATTTACTTTTTTTAAAAAAATTGAATGTTACCTCACAAACAGGGTTACAGCGTTCGTCATTCCATGTGGAGACAATTATTTTGTACAGGTGAAGAATTCCCTCACATGGAATTTGACCAGTAATCAGAAATAAAACTTAATGAAGCAGCCCAGATGCGAATTGGATGTTGCTGTGAGGATTAGATCCCATTGACAGGAGCTTACCTTCAAAGGCTTTTTCAAGTCAACATCTGAATGGATGCTCAGTTCTCTGAGAGCATCGCCAACCAAGTTGCTCCTGCGAACGTGAAGGACCAGGAATGGGCTTCGAGCCAGAAGGGGTTCCAGGGTGAGAAACATAAAGACATTCTGTAGATTTGCTCCACTAATGGCCACCTAGAAACATTTGAGAAATGGATTTTCAAGGGGGAGTTCCTCAACAATTCCCCACCTCTTGTCCTCCTGACATCCAAGGAGAAGAGTTATGTTTCTTTAAGTAGAAAGAAATTGCTAGATGGGTGGCGCAGTACTTAGAATACAGTATTGCAGGCTAACTCTGCCCACTGCCAGCAGTTCGATCTCAACCATGTCGAGGTTGACTCAGCCTTCCATCCTTCCAAGGTCGGTCAAATGAAGACACAGATTGATGGGGAGAATATGCTGAC